TTGATATGTAACTTTTTAATAAACCACCAAGCTTTGCTAAAGTGGCTGCACTAATTTTATATTCTTGTCAGCATTGTATAAAGGTTCAGGTTTCTCCAAATCCTCACCAGCACTTACTAGTGCCTTTTATTTTTTTACAGTGTTATTGAGGTATAATTGATAAATAAAAACTGTATATATTTAAGGTGTATAACATGATGACTTGGTATTTGTATACATTAGGAAATTACTATACTCAAGCTAACACATCCATCACCTTGCATGGTTACCTTTTTTTTGTTGTCATGAGAACACTTAAGATTTACTCTCAGCAGATTTCAAGTATGCAGTACAGTATTATTAACTATAGTCACCGTGCTGAACATTAGATCCCTAGAACTTATTCACCTTGTAACTGGAAGTTTGTACCCTGAGACCAACATCACACCATTCTACTCTCTGCCCCTGTGGGTTTGACTTATTTAGGTTCCACATATAAGTGAGATCATACAGTTTTTGTCTTCTTGTGTCTTGCTTATTTCATGCAGCATAACGTCCTCGAGGTTTATGCATTATGTCACAAATGGCAGTGTCTTTGTTATCATAGCCATTCTAGCGGGTGTGTGGTGGTATCTCGTGCTTTGAATTTTCATTTTCTTAATGATTAATAATATCGGGCATCTTTCCATGTGCTTAATAGCTGTTTATATTTGATGAACTGTCTATTCAAATGTTTTGCTCGTTTTTATTTTATCTTTTTGGCTGCGTTGGGTCTTTGTTGCTGTGCACGGGCTTTCTCTAGTTGTGGCAATCAGGGGCTACTCTTTGTTGTGGTGTGCGGGCTCCTCATTGCGGTGGCTTCTCTTGTTGCGGAGCACGGGCTCTTGGCACACGGGCTTCAGTAGTTGTGGCACGCATGCTCAGTAGTTGTGGCGCATGGGCTTAGTTGCTCCTCGGCATGTGGGATCTTCCCAGACCAGGGCTCGAACCCATGTCCCCTGCATTGTCAGGTGGATTCTTAATCACTGCGCCACCAAAGAATCCCTTTGCTCATTTTTTTTTTTTTTTTTTTTTTTTTGCGGTACACGAGCCTCTCACCGCTGTGGCCTCTCCCGTTGCGGCCTCTCCCGTCGCAGAGCACAGGCTCCGGACGCGCAGGCCCAGCGGCCATGGCTCACGAGCCTAGCTGCTCCGCAGCATGTGGGATCCTCCCGGACCGGGGCATGAACCAGTGTCCCCTGCATCGGCAGGCGGACTCTCAACCACTGTGCCACCAGGGAAGCCCGCTTTGCTCATTTTTTAATTGACTTGTCTCTTTATTATTAAGTTGTAGGAGTTCTTTATAAACTTCAGATGCATGTGACTTGAAAATATTTTCTCTCAATCTGTGACTTATCTTTTCATTTTCTTAGTGGTATCTTTTGAGTTACAAAAATTTTGGTTTTGATAGTCTAATGTGTCATTTTTTTCTTTTATGGTTCATGCTTTTTTCCCCTAAGTATTTCATTCTTTTTTAATGCTACTCTAAATGAAATTATTGTGTTAATTTTTTTTAAATTATTTGTTGCTAGTATACATAAATACATTTGACTTTTGTGTAAATTTTATATCCTATGAATTAACCAGTGAAGCTATTTGGGCCTGGGATTTTTTTGTGGGAAAATTTTTAATTACCAATTTGACTTATTGTTCTATGTCAGTAGCTTTTTTTATTTTTTTACTTATTGATATATAATTCACATACCATATAATTCATCCATTTAAAGTAAACAATTGACTTTTTTTTAGCATATTCACAGATGTTCGCAACCATCACCACAGCTGATTTTAGAACATTTGCATCACCTCAAAAAGAGAAACCCAGTACGCATTAACTGTTAATCCCATATCCCCCATCTCCTGCCCCTAGCCCTAAGCAACCACTAATCTACTTCCTGTGTCTGTAGATTTCCCTATTCTGGACTTTCATATGAACAGAATCATATATATGGAATTTTTTTGTGTGACTGGCTTCTTTGCAGTGTGTTTCTTCTTTTAGCTTGTTTTCAGGTTTCATTCTGGATGTAGCGTGTATCAGTATTTAATTCTGTTCTTTAAAAATGGAGATGAAATTCACATAACATACAATTAACCGTGTAAAGTGTACAGTTCAGTGGTGTTTAACTTACTGCATTCACAGTGCTATGCAACTACCACTTCTCTTTAGTTTCCAAACTTTTTCATCACCCCAGAAGAACACCGTATACCATTTAAGTAACATCCCATTCCAGCCTCCCCCCTCCCATGGGACCTGCTAATATGCTTTCTCTCTCTGGGGATTTGTCTATTCTGGATAGTTTATGTAAATGGAATCATTCAGTATGTGACCTTTTGTGTGTGGCTCTTGTCACTCAGCATAATGTTTTCAAGGTTCATCTAAGTTGTAGCATGTGTCAGTACTTCATTTCTTTCTATGACTATCTGTTGAAAGATATTTTGTTTGGCTGTTATAAACAATGCTGCTATAAACATTTGTGTCCAAGTTTCTGTGTAGATTTATGTTTTCATTTCTCTTTATTGCTGGGTCATATGGTAATTCTATGTTTAACTCTTTGAAGAACTGCGAAAATGTTTTCCATTGCACCTGAACATTTACATTCCTACCAGCAACGTATGAGGGTTTCTATTTATCTGTATCCTTGCCCTCACCAACACTTGTTTTTGTTTTTTGTTTTTTAACAATAGCAGTCCTAGTGAGTATGAGGTAATATCTCATTGTGGTTTTGATTTGCATTTCCCTAATGACAAATGCTGTTCAACTTTTTTTTCATGTGCTTATTGGTCATATGTGTATATTCCTTGAAGAAATGTCTATTCAGGTCCTTTTCCCATTGTAACTGGATTTTTTTATCTGTTTAATTTAATTTTTTTTTTGAGTTTTAAGAATTCATTCTCCCTGTGTCAGATTACCTGTCAGTGTACTTTTTTTTGGAGCTCTTTGTCTTCTTATTACAATCCAAACAGATAACTCATGGGGAATTCCCTGATCGTCCAGTGGTTAGGACTCCGCGCTTCCAGTGCTGGGGCCCTGGGTTCAATCCCTGGTCAGGGATCCTGCAAGGTGTGTGGTATGGCCAAAAAAAAGAAAAGAAAAGCAAAGAAAAAGAAATGGGTTCTAAACAGATAGCTCATTAAGTCTGCTACACAGCTGTGATCCTAGAAATTTCTGTAACTCTCTCCTGCATTGAATCTCCTGTTTCCTGTATCTCTTTCTTTTTCCTGGTTTACATCCTCATTTTGGTGGCACCCATCCTCCAGTAGCTTCATTAGAAAGGATACATAAGAGGCAATTTTCGTGAGTATCTAAAACTACCTGTATTATCCCAGCACATTGATTATTTGTCTGGGTAGAGATTTCTGTGTTGCAATTCATTTTCCCTCAGAAAATGAAGTCATTGCTCCATCTTCTAAGATTACCATGGAGGATTTGATACTATTCTTAATCTTTTGTATCCACCACTCCCCTTTCTGAAAGTTTTGGAATCAAAATGATCTCTTTCTCTGTAGTGTTCTGAAATTTCACAATGATACAAGGCTTTTTTTCATTCATCTTCCTGAATACCTCTTTGGGAATGTATCTTATATTGTTTCTTTGATAGCTATCTCAGTTTTCTCAGTTCCCACTTTCTGAAGAAAACATTATATCTCTGATTTAATCATGTTATATTTAGGGCATTATTCTTTCCTTTAACAAAATATATATGTATATATAGTAAGGAAAACTTTATTTCAAAAGATTATTGTGGTGGGGGGGTGCTGGTTCATAGAGAGAGGCTTTTGTAATAGCGGGAGGGGGAATTTTGCAATAGAGAGACTGCTGTGACCAGAAGATTGCAAGTGTCTCCTTTCTATTACATTCTAATATTGTGGATATGTCAAAATCTTAATTTCCAAGAGTTCACTCATGTTTTCTCAGCTTCTTTTTTCTTCTCTTACTGCCCCCTTCTTCCTCCTCACTCTACCCCATTCCATTCCCCTTCACCTGCTTCTCCCACTTCCTCTCTTTTCAATACCCATTTCCTGTGCTTCTCCTCCTCACCCCTTTTCTTCCAGCATCCTGTTGTTGACACATTGTCACAGCTTGTCTTATCAATGAGGACATGAATTACAGAATTTTTAATTTGTTCATTTATTTCGTTTCTGTTTCTTCTATGCCTGCAGTCTCTGTTTCCCCCAAATTGCTTTGATTTGTTTTTGGTTTTGGGGTGATTTTTTTTTTCCTGGTCTCCATTTGCTGCCCATTCATCTTTAACAAGCAAGGCTATGTAAAGCTGATTGGAGGCTGTGTATGCATGAGTGGGGCTGTGGACTGGTGGGTTTCACTGTAGAGTGAGAGAGCAAGGAGCCAGTTTTTTAGCTGAAGCCTAACAGTGAAAAGATTGGGAAATGAGAGTAGCAAATAAAAACAAAGTTCCCTCCTTTCATGGCACTCCTATTTATTATATGTTGTTATTAGCTACAATTCTGTTTTAATGCCCACCATTTTACATGCTGGCATTCCTGTGGTTAAAATACTGCTAAGATGTACTTCTGTGTCCATACACTATACTTTTAATGTCATTTCTTAAGAAAATTATATGCATTTATACCATTTGATTTTTTGACTCTAAACTTGAAATATTAAGAGTTTAATGAACTATAATAGATTGGAAAATAACTAAAATAGATAGTATTTGTTTACTACAGTTCATTTGAGGGCCATCTATTCTTTAGTGTACTGTACATGTCACCTCTTCCGCTTTTTGGTATAATCTTTTGTTGATTGTTGCTTTTATATTATCTCTCATATTACAAGATATTGTTAAAATCTAAATCTAGGAATTGGGATTCCCAAGATACTGATAAAAAGATGCTATAAAAGAAATTTCTGTGTTTCAGAGGTTTATAGAACTCAGAGATTCTTTTTATAAGCATGTTCTTGAAGCGGTACATCCCTAAGGGCACTAATGACTGATTTTTCCTCTCTCATTTTCTCTTTTTAGGGAAACTAAAACCAACAATAGCATTCATGTCAGGAAGATTGAAGATTAAAGGAAACATGGCCCTAGCAATCAAATTGGAGAAGCTAATGAATCAGATGAATGCCAGACTGTGAAGAGAAAAAAAATGTTGACCGCTAAGCTCAAAAAGTAAAAGGGTTCAATAGTTAAAACTGAATGTTTGTTTTCATCCCTATTATAAGGATATACATGTTTGTTCTGGAAAAAATAGAATTTCTGTATCTATAAGACTTGAAATTGTAATTAAAACAGCTAGCCAACCAAACATAAGCATCATTAAGTAGAATTCTAAGATATTCTATTTTTCTTATTTTGTGAGTTTTGCCCTCTGAGTCCTGTATCTCATACACCATCATCTTCTGGGAAAAGTATTATTAGTAATCAATTGGGGTCAAGCAGCAACATTACTTTTTTCATATCTTTTTCCCACGTAAAATGAGACTAGTCTGTTTTAAACTTTTCAGTTTAGGATTGTATACTAATGATATTTTAGAGTTTTATAAACTTGTTTTAAAGAAAATCTTCTATATTACATTTTCATAGAAATCACATAATAAACTACTTAATAAATACTATTTGTGAAGACAAATTAAACAAAAAGTATATTTTGTTAACTACCTTTCTAAGTGTAAGGTATTTTACCTATAGGAAAATATTATTGATGTAATTCAACTAACTGCAGTATATATATCCTATTTTAAAGTATGTAAAAATATCCTAAGATAATTCCTCCCCAGAAGTGTGCACTTGGTCACAGTGTTTCGAAATGAGAACATTAGAATAGATGGTTGTTATGGGCTGAATGGTATGCCCCCTTCATATGTTGAAGTCCTAACCCCAAGAATCTCAGAATTGATTGTATTTGGAGATAAGATCTTTAAAGAGGTGAGTAAAACCCAGGCTTTTAGGGTAGGGTGGGCCATAATCCAGTCTGACTGGTGTCCTTATAAGAGGAAATTTGGACACAAAAGAGAGTCCAAGGAGGCACACACAGAGGAATGACCATGTGAGGACCAGCAAGAAGGCAGTCATTTGCAAGCCAAGGAAAGAGGCCTCAGAAGAAACCAAACCTACTGACACCCTGATCTCAGACTAGTCTCTAGAATTGTAAGAAATTTCTGTTGCTTTAGCCACTCAGTCTGTGGTATTTTGTTATTGTAGTCCTAGTAAACTAATGCAATAGTTTGTTTGTATTTCTGTTACGAACACAAGTTCCTATGCAGTACACACAGTGAGGCCAAACTGAAACATTGGAGTTTGTAGCAGAGAAAGGTTTATTACAGGGCCAAGCAGGGAGAATGGGTGGATTGTGCTCAAAAACCCAAACTCCCCAATGGTTTTCAGGGAGAAGTTTTTATAGGCAGAATTTGGGGTGAGCGCTGTGTGACTGTCTCCTGATTGGTTGGTGGTGAGGTAACAGAGAGGTGTTTCAGAAATCTTGTGCTCAGCCTGAAGTTACCATCCTCCACCTGGGTGGGGGCGTTAGTTCTTACAGAAGAATGCAAAGATATTGTTATATATATTCCTTGAGGAGGAACCAGGACCCTGCCCCAAGGCTGCACTATTGTTTCTTGACTGCTCCTCCCCTGTTTCTGCATTCCCTCCCTTCCCTGATTAGCAACTGTTTGAATCTGCCCTTTGTAACTCAGTGAAGGTCAAGGAGGCTGAATGAAGCCTATTTCCTACAAACAAGAAATAGGGGATACAGAAAGGCTTTGTACCTAGGATGGCCCCACAGGGTCCTTCTCTGTTTCATTTCTTTTTTTGAAAAAGTTAAACTTATTTTTTTTAAGCTCCTATCTTTCCTTTTAATCAGTTAAAAATACTTGTTCAGTGTAATTCTTTCACTTCTCACCTTCCACTCACTTTAATATTATTGTGCTGTTAAGCAACTTAGCTAATTCTGACATTTTGTAGAATCATAACATTAGGAGCACTTAATCTGTATTTTACAAATCAGGAAACAGAGGATCAGAGATAGGAAAGGACTAGCCCAAGGTCAAAATTAACAAGCCCTTTCCAACAACCTCCCAGTACATTGGCCTTGGATAGAACTTGAAGACCCCACTTCCCCCTCCTTGAAGCCCAGATAGATTGACTTTGATATGGCAGGCTCACAACTCCCTTGGCATCTCCTGTTCATTTCCAGCCACATTAGGATCCCTGTCAGATGTTGCCAGCAGACTCCTTTTCTACTGAAATTTTCTAAAAACTTTTCTTCTTTCTCTGCATTTTCCACATGGCTTCAAAGCTTTGGGAAAATAAAAACTAGAAAATATTGTGAGGCAGGAATTCTGGAGTTTGGTTACTAAAACATGAACTTGCTAATTAAAAGGCCTTAGGATATCAGAAGAAAATCTTTCCACAGGGCCCTGGTTTTCATATCAGTAATTGAGGGAGTTGGATGAGGTCCTCTGCAGCCTGTTTTCGCTTATTATCACTAAGAAGTAGTGAGCAGTCTGTACTATTTTATCAGAAATAAAGGTACCACAGCTACATTGCTAAAGCTTTCTCTCTTGCCACATCCCCCAGCTGCCTTAATGAATTCATGTGTTCCCTTCTCTTGGATCTTGCCCATTAACTGCACTGAGGTTGTAGAGTCTCCTAGAAGTTTTGAATGGCCATTTTGTGTGTGGTTCAGTATCCATTCGACCCCTGTTTCTGAAATAGAATGGTATGGAGGGAAACCATGCCATTTGGCTTTTTAGTGTTTGATGAAGTTATTCAGACATTTTAAAGATGGTTTGTTGCTAGTAATCCTATATTTTAACAAATCCTCTTAAATAGTGCCTTTTTTTTCTTTTTTCTTTTTTTGGCTGTGCCACACGGCTTGTGGGATCTTAGTTCCCCGAGCAGGGATCGAACCTGGCCCCAACAGTGAATGTGCCAAGTCCTAACCACTGGACCACCAGGGAATTCCCTTAAATAGTGCCTCTTAAATAATCCTCTTAAGTAGAAGAAAAGAAGTCTTTTTCCTCTACCTATCTTAAGTTTTCAGTTGGGGTCCTGTAAATTAGACTAAGAAAAGATAGATTAGCAAGAGAAAAACAAATAGAAGTATTAACATATGCATTGCACATAAACATGGAAGCATTCAGACATGAGTAACTCAAAGATGTGGTTAGAACTTGAGCTTATACAACAATGAACAATAAATTTTTTTGTGAAGGAACAAGACAAAGAGGACTTTCAGTTTCTAGGATAGGAAACTGTAGGAAGGAAAATATACGTACAGTAAGAGTGAGTTTTGTAAGAAACTGCCAAATAGAAAAAAAACTGTCAAAAAAAAAAAAAGCTGCCAAATAGTCTTCCAAAGTGGCTGTACCATTTTGCATTCCCACCAGCAGCATGTTCCTGTTGCTCCACATCCTTGTCAGCACTTGGTATTGCCAGGTTTTTGGATTTTAGTCATTCTAACAGGTGTGTGGTAGTATCTCATTGTTGCTTTAATTTGCCATTCCCTCGTGACATATGATGTTGAACATCTTTTCATATGCTTACTTTCCTCTATATCTTCTTTGGTGAGATGTCTGTTGAGGTCTTTGGCCCATTTTTAAATCAGGTTGTTTTCTTATTGTTGCATTTTAAGAGTTCTTTGTATATTTTGGATAACAATCCTTTATCAGATGTGTCTTTCGTAAATATTTTTTCCCAATCTGTGACTTGCTTTCTCATTCTCTTGACATTGTCTTTTGCGGAGCAGAAGTTTTTCATTTTAATGAAGCCCTGCTTATCAGTCATTTCTTTCATGGATCATGCCTTTGGAGTTGTATCTAAAAAGTCATTGCCATACCCAAGGTCATCTAGGTTTTCTCCTATGATATTTTCTAGGGAGTTTTAGTTTTGCATTTGACATTTAGATCTGTAATCCATTTTGAGTAATTTTTGTGAAAGGTGTAAAGCCTTTGTTTATTTATTATTTTGCATGTGTATATCCAGTTGTTCCAGCACCATTTGTTGAAAAGACTATCTTTGCTCCTTTGTCAAAGGTCAGTTGACTATATTCATGTGGGTATATTTCTAGGCTCTCTATTCTCCTACATTGATCTATTTATCCTTTCACTAATACCACGCTATGTGGTTACTTTAGCTTTATAGTAAGTCTTGAAGTCAGGTAATGTCAATCTTAACTTTGATCTTCAATATTGAGTTGGCTATTCTGGTTCTTTCGCCTCTCCATATAACTTTAGAATAAGTTTTTTCATATTCACAAAATAACTTGCTGGGATTTTGATTGGCTTTGAGTTGAATCTATATATCAACTTGGGATAAACTGATGTTTTGACAGTATTGAGTCTTCCTATCCATGAACATGAAATATCTCTTCATTTATTGTTATTCTTTGATATCTTTCATCACAGTTTGGTAGGTCTTCTTATATAGATCTTGCACATAGTTTGTTAGATTTGTATCTGAATATTTAAATTTTTTGAGTGCTAATATAAATGATAATGTGTTTTACATTTCAAATTTCACTTCATTACTGGTATATAGGAATGTGATTGACTTTTGTATATTAACCTTGTATTTTACAACCTTGCTATAATAATTTATTAGTTCCCAGAAGTTTCTTTGGTAATTTTTATAGCTTTTCTATATAGACAATTATGTCATCTGTGAACAGAGAGTTTTATTTCTTCCTTCCCAACTTGTATACCTTTTATTTCCTTTTAAGTTATTGCATTAGCTAGCACTTCCAGTATGATGTTGAAAAGCAGTAGTGAGAGGGGACATCCTTGCCTTATTCATGATCTTAATGGGAAAGCTTCTAGTTTCTCACCATTAAGTGTGATGTTAGTTGTAGGTTTTTTGTAGATATTCTTTATCAAATTGAGGAAGTTCCCCTCTATTCCTAGCTTACTGAAATATTTTATTATGAGTGGGTGTTGGACTTTGTCAAATGCTTTTTCTGCATCTATTTGTATAATCATGTGATTTTTCTCTTTCAGCCTGTTGATGTGGTAGATTACGTTAATGGACTTTTGAAAGTTGAACCATCCTTGCAAACCTAGGATAAATCCCACTTGGTTGTTTTTATGGCCTATATGTTCTTATGCCCACAAATTTCATATATTGAAATCCTAACCCCCCAAGGAGCCTTTGGGAGGTGATTAGATCATGAGGGTGGGGCCCTTATGACTGGGATTAATGCCCTTATAAAAGAGACCTCAGAGAGAGTTAGCTGGTCCCTTTCACCAAGCGAGGACATGGCAAAAAGGTGCCACCAGTGAATCAGAGCTCAGGCCCTCACCATACACCAGATCTGCCTGTGCCTTGGTCTTGGACTTCCCAGCCTCCAGAACTGTGCAAAATAACTTTCTGTTGTTTTTAAACCACCTAGTCTCTTTTTGTTATAGCAGGCTGAACAGGCTAAGAAAACTGTGCTATGTAAGTCTTTTTATATGTTGTTGGATTCAATTTGCTAATATTGTGTTGAGGATTTTTGCATCTAAGTTCATGAGAGATGTTGGTCTGTAGTTTTCTTGAAATGTCTTTCTTTGGTTTTGGTACTAGGGTAATGCTGGTTTCACAGGATGAATTAGGAATATTTTCTGTTTCTGTCTTCTGAAGGGGACTGTAGAGAACTGGTATAATTTTCTTCCTTAAATGTTTGTTAGAATTCATCAGTGAACCCATCTTGACCTGGTGCTTTCTGTTTTGGGAAGTTATTAATTACCATTTGCTTTATTCCATCTGTTCTGTATATCTTTGTTCTTCTTTTCTGGTCTTCTATTTCTTTCTGTCTTCCTTGAAAGAATCTCACAAAATATTTCCATTTCCCATTCCCATCCTTTGTACTACTTTGTCATACATTTTATTTCCACATATGTTTTAAACTCTACAGTATATTGTTTAATATTTTTGATAACAGTGAATTATCCTTTTAAAGATCAAAAAAATGAGAAAAAAGTCTTTAAATTTACCTATATGTTTACTCTTTGCACTGTCAACCTATCCATCACCAACTATCCAAACACATGAACATATCCAAGTTTCCTTCTGCCCCTTTGTAGCCATTTATGCCCATCCTTGATCCCATTTCCAGCAAGTACTGATCTGCTTTCTATAACTATAGATTAGTTTACATTTTCCTGGAATTTACATTAATGGAGCCATACAGTATGTATTTTCTGTTTGGCTTCTTTCAATCTGCGTAATTACTTTGAAATTTGTTCTTATCATTACATATATCAATAGTTCATTCCTTTTTATTACTGCTGAGCAGTTTGCCATTATATGAATACACCACAGTTTGTTTATCCATTCACCTGTTGATAGACATTGGGGTAGTTTCCAGCTTTTGGCTATTACAAATAAAGCTTCTGTGAACATTCATGTACCAAGTCCCTGTATTCTCTTGGGTATGAAATGACTGGATCATATGGTGTGCATATATTTAATTTTTTAAGAAATTGCCAAACTTTTTTCCAAAGTGGTTATACTATTTTACATTTCACTAACAATGTATAGGATTTCATTTCTTCACATTTTCATCAACACCTGATATGTAGAGCCTTTTAAATTTTAGCCATTCTAATAAGTATGTAGTAGTATCTAATTGTATTTTAACTTCCATATCCTTGATGAGGATGAGCATCTTTACATGTGCTTATTTGACATGCGTATATCGTCTTGATGAAGTGTCTGCTCAAATCTTTGCCCACATTTATTCCATTGTTTGTTTTATTATTGAATTTTGGGAGCTCTTTATATATTCAGGATACAAGTAATTTTTCAGATATTTGCAAATATTTTCTCCCTTTCAATAGATTGTCTTTTTATTCTCTTACCAGTGATACAGGAATAACAAAATTTTTTTAAATAGATGAGGTTTGGGCTTCCCTGGTGGTGCAGTGTCTAAGAATCTGCCTGCCATTGCAGGGGACACAGGTTCGAGCCCTGGTCTGAGAAAATCCCACATGCCGGGAGCAACTAAGCCCATGTGCCACAACTACTGAGCCTGCGCTCTAGAGCCTGTGAGCCACAACTACTGAGCCCACATGCCACAGCTACTGAAGCCTGCACACCTAGAGCCCATGCTCTACAACAAGAGAAGCCACCGCAGTGAGAAGCCCGCGCACTGCAACGAAGAGTAGCCCCCATTCGCCGCAACTAGAGAAAGCCCACGCACAGCAACAAAGATACAACACAGCCAAAAATAAAATTTTTAAAAAATAGATGAGGTTCAACTTATCAATCTTTTTCTTTACTGGATCATGCTTTCGGTATAATTCAGAAATCTTTGCCTAACTGAAAACTTATGGAAGTTTTACAGTTTTAAGTTTTGCATTTAGGTGTATTTAGCATTTCAAGTTAATTTTTGTACATGTGCAATGTGTGGATCAAATTTCATATTTCTGACTAGGGAAATCCAATTGTTCCAGCATCATTTGTTGAAAAACAGCAGAATAAAATAAAATTAGAACTTCAGAAATTAAAAAATATAATACATTAAAAAACTTTTCCATAATACAAGTTGAGGTTTCCATTACTGTAAGGTTAATGAAAAATACTGTTTAGTCACGAAAAGCACAAAAGCAATGTTAGTGCAACTTAAAAGTGTACACAATTGACCATATATTTATCTGAGAAAGTACCAAATGATTATAAGGAAGTCACATCCTAGCCAGTCTCTACTACTATAAGTCTAAGAACTTGAATTCTATTTAATTCTTTCCAGCACAGTAAGACAGCCAAAAACTTCTGCTTAGATTTTTTTTTTTTTTCCTGTTAACAACTGCTTTCTGCTTGATTTCCTGGCTTCTTGCCCCTTGCATGAACAGGCTAGGAATCAGCAAATGCTTTGAGGGAAAATATGTAGAATGACTGACTCCTTTTACTGTGATTGCCTTTCTTCTGGGATCTTAGCATCTCAAGCCCTAGTTACCCTGATAGACTTGACCTCCAAAATTTGTATCTCCAGCCCAATCAGACTATTGAAAGCTCTAGGATGCCTCTCTCAGATTTCTATACTCCTAGACACAGATCAACAATGCCATAAGGAGGAAACATGGCTTAGGATGGAGGATTCACTTCATCATGTTTCCCTTCTTGCTGGGCTCTTGGGAATCTCAAGCCTTGGCTGCCTGGATTGCTGTATAACAGGTTTAAACAGGCTTTTATTTTTTTTTAATGCAGCTTTTTATAGCTTTTAGTGGGAGAGTTAGTTTGTTCAACAAGGTACCTCATCATAGCTGGAAGCCTGCATCATTTAAAAAACTCATCAAGGTGGAAATATCCTTTAAACAAATGGGACTGCATTTAAATAGTTAATTGTGGTAAAAAACAAATAATACAAAATTTATCCCTTTGACCATTTTCAAGTGTACAGGTCAGTGGTTTATCCTCACATTGTTGTGTATCAGATCTCTAGAACTTTTTCATCTTGCAAAACTAAAACTCTATACTCATGGAACAACAACTCTCCATAATCCCCTCATTCCCTGGCAACCACCATAATACCCTGTTTCCATGATTGTGGCAACTCTAGGTACCTTATATAAGTGATTTTGACAACTCTAGGTACCTTATATACAGTATTTGTTGTTTTGCGGCTGGTTTATTTCACTTAGTGTAATGTCCTCAAGGTTCATCTATGTTGTAGCATGTGACAGGGTTGCTTTTTTAAGGCTGAATAATACTCTGTATGTATATGCCACATTTTGTTTATCCATTCATCCATCCTTGGACATTTTGGTTGCTTCCATCTCTGGGCTATTGTGAATAATGGTGCAGTGAACATGGGTTGCAAATGCCTCTTTAAGTTCTTGCTTCAAATTCTTTTGGATATATATACCTAGAGGTGGGATTTCTGGATCACATAGTAATTCCATTTTTAGTTTTTTGAGGACCCTCCATAGTGTTTTCCATAGTGGCAGCACCATTTTATATTTCTCCCAGCAATGCACAGGATTTCAATTTTCCCACAGGATTATGTACTTGAAACATGTGGCGATTAACTGTTTTTTCTTTTTTCTAATAAATTTATTTTATTTATTTATTTTTGGCTGCATTGTGTCTTTGTTGCTGCACGTGGGCTTTCTCTAGTTGTGGCAAGCAGGGGCTACTCTTCGTAGCGGTGTGCGGGCTTCTCATTGCAGTGGCTTCTCTTGTTGCGGAGCACAGGCTGTAGGCGTGCAGGCTTTAGTAGTTGTGGCATGTGGGCTCAGTAGTTGTGGCACATAGGCTCTACAGCGCAGGCTCAGTAGTTGTGGTGGATGGGCTTAGTTGCTCTGTGGCATGTGGGATCTTCCTGGCCCAGGGATTGAACTGGTGTCCCCTGCATTGGCAGGCAGATTCTTAACCACTGCACCACCAGGAAAGTCCCTGGTTTTTTTTCTTTTTTTTGGACACATTATTTATCAAAAATGTTTAAAGATTTTTAAATTCAGCCAGGAGGAGTGTTGATAGACACAGGTGTTAGGAATCCTTTCTCCTTTGTTCAGAAGTTAGTCTCTTTTTCTGCTCAGTCATACTCTTTTCTCCCCTCACTTACCCCAGGGTAGGAGGGAATGAGGTTTCCCTGTCACAGCTGGGGTGAGGCCAAGATGTCAGCACTACATATGGCTAATCAGATATGCTTTAAATGATAGTTATTGCCATTATTATTATTTTGGAGATGCTTAGGGCTGTAAGTAGAAAGGAGCACAGAGACAGACTGCCTGGGACGAATCTGGGTTCCTCCTACTATGTGATCTTGGGCAGCTTTCTTACTGTCTCTGTGCCTCAGTTTCCTCATGTGCAAAACAGCAATGCTAACAAGACCCATTTCATAGAGTTCTTAGGATTAAGCAAATTAATATTCGCTAAGCACTTAGTGTAAGTACTATGAAAGTGTTTGGTGGATAAGATAAAGGTGGAGGGCGCCTGGTCCAGCCTTACCTCCCTTGTGCCGAGCTGTGCAGGTGGTCTTATTATATGCTTCCCGGTCTTAGTGTGTTTTAGGTGTTATTCAGCAGACCGGCTCCCTCCACGGGATGGGTGCGTGTGGTTGTAGCTGTATTAGAAACTTCCACCGGGTAGCGGTGACTGTGGGTTGTACGTCTGTCGATCGGAGGTGTTCTTGCACATGCCTGGATGTAGAAGTGACTCCACTCAGCGCGTTAAAACAGGTATCACACGCCTGGCAAACCCAGGGTCTTGCAAGGAGGTCTGATCCTGGCATTTAGGTGGAGCTGTACGGAGCTGCGAAGGGCAGCGGGGGCCGCGGGCCTGGGGCGTGTGGCAGGAGGGGGGGTGCTGCCCAGTTGAGAACGCTGAGGGGATCGTGGCTCCCACGCCTGTCGGGCTGCGGAGACCGAGCTCGTGGTCGCGTGCCTGTAGCAGGAGGGTCGGTCCACACCTCCTCCGGACAGCCTCCGCCGCTAGCTCGGTGCGCGTCGTGGGAGGGCCGTTACACACTTCCTGTGGGTCTCCCGGACCACAGCGCGTTTCCGGTGCCGGCTGGAGGCCGGGGTCCGAGCCCCCGCCCCGCTCGCCGGCCCCGCCCCCGCCCGCGCCCCGCCCCCCGCCTGCCTGCCGCGTTCGGAGTCGGGCGCGCGGAGCTCGGGGCGCACGGAGCGGCGCGCGCCGGTCGGCGGAGCCAGGCTGGCGCCCCCGCCCCCAGCCCCTCGGTCCGTCGCCCGTCCGGCGCCTTCCCGTTCTACTTGCCTTCGCTCCCCGGCCCTGTGGCCGCGCTCCCTCCCTTCCCTCCGTCCCGCCCCCTCCAGCCCCTGCTGCCCGGCTCCTACAGGCCCCCTCGCTGCCCGCGTTCCTATGGACAGACGCACAGACACCTGCAGGTGGGTGAGAGCCCGCGCGCGGGGCGGGGACGAGCGCGCCGACGCTGCGCCCGGGACCGGGAGCCCCTTTGTGTGGGGGGCGGTCGCACTGGCGTCCGCGCCGCTTCCCCCCCGCCGGCGGCCTAGCAGTGACCCGGCTGAACCCTCCTTTTGTTCCTCTGGGCTTGTGGGGGGGGTGGCGCGAGAAGGCCGAGAGTCAGGGCTGAGAGCCGGGCGGCCGGACGTCGCCGGCGACGGCCTCGGGGGCGTGAGGGGGTAGAAACCCCCGGCGGCCGAGCGAGCGGCGGCCGCGGCTCTGGGTTGTCTCTCTGGGGCCGGCCCGCCGCCCAGCGTCTCCTGTCGCCGCCGCGGCCGCGGGCGCGCTGCGTGGGTCTGGCTCGCCCGCTCCCTCTCTGGGGTTTGTTGGAGGTGGGAAGGAGGGCGGGAAAGGGGAAAGAAAAGATCTGCTCTCTTAGTTTTCAAGTCTTGAGGAGGTTATGGAGAGAGAGGGAGAGAGGTGTTTCGGTGCTTTGCCAGACTTGTTTCCCTCCCGCGAGGCACGCCAAGGTGCGTTTGGGGCGTGTGTGAAGGAACGTGCATCGCTTGCGTCCCTTATTTATTGTTTCTGACGGAGAAGGGCTTTCTCCGAAGGGCTCTTCCGCCCCCCAACCCGTCTGAGGCTGCGCACAGTGATTTGTGTTTGTTATCAAATACATCGAGAAATAGATTTCCCTCGGTAGGAGAAGGTTGGGCTGACCAAAATCAGTGTTTTTTAGTATTCTGATGGCTTTCTTTCTTTCTCTCTTTCTTTCTCTTTCTTTCTTTCTTCTTTCTTTCTTTCTGATAAGGACTTAAAGGCAAGAAATAAAAGATGAATATGGTTGTGATGGTTACATATATGTATAACTTTTGGAGGTAAAGTTTTGTTATTTCCCAGACTCCTTAGGTTTAACATGACAGAATCTTCTACCTATTAAATAAACAGTTAACAAGTAAGTCACTTCCACAGTGGAGGTTAGACTGGAGTGCGATAAACAATTATCTAACTTTCTGTCCAGGCTAAAACCTTTATTTTTGCTGGTTTAAGATATGAGATCTTTCACGACATATGGGGAGAACATGAACGTTAGAACTGATCATCTCTCCCTGTGATTGTGCTTTCCCTATTTTATTATATGTATTTATGTATTCTCTGTTTATAACCCAACGACTGTGTTGTATATGGTGGATATAACTTTTGAAAAGCACTGTAAGTGATATTTCTGATTGGTATTATTTATGTTTTTTATGAACAGTTGCTATGTATTTGTAGATACTCAGATAATAAATGAAGTTGCATAAGCACCCAGAAAATTAATTTTCCAGATTCAGTTTTTTTTAATGGGTTTTTTTTTTTTTTTTTTTGGGCTGCATTGGGTCTCCGTTGCACGGGCTTTCCCTACTTGCGGGGGGGGGGCTACTCTTCGTTGTGGTGGGCGAGCTTCTCATTGCAGTGGCTTCTCGTTGCGGAGCTTGGGCTCTAGGCGCGTGGGCTTCAGTAGTTGTGGCACGCGGGCTCTAGAGCACAGGCTCAGTAGTTGTGGGGCACGGGCTTAGTTGCTCTGTGGCATGTGGGATCTTCCCAGACCAGGGCTTGAACCCGTGTCCCCTGCATTGGCAGGCGGATTCTTAACCACTGCACCACCAGGGAAGCCCTTCCAGATTCAGAGTTTAACGCAGGTGTGGATTTATATCTTTGCATTCACCTCTATCTACTGCTCATTTCTGGAGACTTTTTTTTTTTTTGCTTATTGTTTGAGAATCCATATTGACAAACTTAAATCTGATGGTTACCAAGGAGATCAAAAAAGAAAACACAGTTTTGGGGACACGCAGTTATATGTACAGCTATATGTAGGAAATGTAGTCTTTCTTAAAAAATAAAAGTATTATCATCCAAACATGAAGGAAAATTATTATGGTGGAAAAAATATTTGCTATTTAAATTTTTGTCAAGTAACGTGTAGAAATTTGTCAGAAAACAATATACAATTTAATATAGTGTTAACTAGGCAAACTGATTTTTGTCATTATAAAGAGGAGACAGTTTAGTATGCCTAAAATAGTGGTCTTTTTCTAGGAGAAAAATGTATCCTAGATTCTTGTCCTAGTTTTACATTAACACATTAATATTATTTCATGCCTTATTTTGTAAATGCCTGGAGTGTACATTTTTGTACACTTTACTTAAAACTTAGAAGAGGGTACATCTAACAAAGGTCATGCCAGCCTCTTTGATTAGTTCCTGTTTTGACTTCTGTTCTAGATTAGATAAATGAATTTAAACTCTGCACAGAGCTCAGTGTCAGGTGCTGGTAGGCCCTTGAGCAAAATACCTCTTCCTTTTCTAATAAGGATGGCCCAAAGAGGCTAAGTGTTGAAATTTGTTCAGACTTTACCATGAATGGTGGCATAGAGTTCTAAAACACTTCCAGAGTTTCAGCTCTTTAGATACAGACTCTTCATCAGCTCTTCCCAGTATTAAAAAAGATAAGCTAACAAATTGAATTGCATGTTTATGTATTTGTTTACATGGCTGTCAGTTGTAGCATTAAGGTTTAATGGAGTCACTGTGTAAACTAAACATTAAGAGTGTGGCCTGCATTGAGAATTGCTTGACAGAGTTGTAGCTGTGTCTAACAGTTTTCTGGGATTGGCATGGTGTGTTTACTTAGGCTGGCTAAAAGATAACACCTGGTTTTTTTGTTTTGTTGTTTGACTGTGATATGTAGATATTAATTGTTTTGTTTTGTGCTTTGTTTTTCTATAATTAACGGTACTATTTTAGTTAATCAGAAGCATTCCAGAGACTCTTTCATATTTTCATCTGATTTTTCGTCTGGTATGTTGGTGTTTAGGAAGGCATGTAAATTATTTTTCACATCTCATCGTTGAAATTTTTTTCTGCTGCTTTTGATACTATGACAAATGCTTCCAGAAATTTTGAATTTGCGTAAAGTTGGGTTTTAAATGTATCAGTAGCTGAGCAGTGGAATCTGATATTTACCAGTTTTTTTTTTTAACAACACTAAGCTCTCCACGGTTAAATTTGATAGGCTTTAAAATCCATAGACTTTTCTAGTCTTTTCCTGTTTGTTAGTTATTAGTGTGGTACCATTAAAAGACACTTAAAATGGGGCTTCCCTGGTGGTGCAGTGGTTGGGGGTCCGCCTGCCGATGCAGGGGACACGGGTTCGTGCCCCGGTCCGGGAAGATCCCACATGCCGCAGAGCGGCTGGGCCCGTGAGCCATGGCCGCTGAGCCTGCGCGTCCGGAGCCTGTGCTCCGCGGCGGGAGAGGCCACAGCAGTGAGAGGCCTGCGTACCGCAAAAAAAAAAGACACTTAAAATGTTCACTTTATGTTACCTGGAACCCTCAAACGACTAGTATTATCATTAGTAATAACCAGGGGGAAAGCTGAAAAGTTAACAATTTTATTCTTTATAAAAGATCTGGGACTTTCAAGTTCTTTTTCCTAAAGTTTTTTGTAGCTTGGGAAAGTAGGCCTGACTGTGAGAGGTGCGGACAGTGACCTCTCGTTCCAGCCTTTAACGTCCTGCGTTGTTTAAGAGCAGTACATACCCTTGCTGCTTGCCGAAAATGCAGAATTCATTCTTGGACTAATATTCTGCTACCAGATGTATGAGGCTGGCTCTAAAGAAGCTTTTTCTCTTAAATACTGTCAAAAATAGAGAAGCTGAAGATTGGAGAGAAGCCATTTATTTTGAACAGTTTACTTTTTGACAGTTTGTGTTTGTAAAGAAACCTGCTCATAATATTTAGTGAAGAGACCTACATAGTCGCCTGAAGAAACCCCACAGGTTTCTTTTTTGCCTTGAAGAAAGTTTCCATAGAGCTTAACTCTTCCATGGTACTTCTTGACTTTGCTTCTGATTAGTTGATTTATGGACTTTATTTACCAGCATGATTGGAGAATTCTTTTGCTATACTGAAATTGCACTCTGCCTGTGCTCTCCTCTGTTTCCTAGGTAACAAATGCACTGCACAGATTCCATAATGAGGACTGTGGTTGGCTAGTTACAGTGTAAATTCTGTTGTTTGGTAAAGCTTAGTCTCAAATTCAAATAAAGGTCAAGAAACCAAAAGTACTGAAAATGCAAATTTTTGCATTTTATTTTGTATGCAGTGTCAACAAAGTGTAATACCCTTTTCTGGAGAAAGGCAAATTATGCAGCAGTATGCATGTTTGTTTTGCAGAGTCTCACACTTAAACCGTTGGAGAGCTTTTTGAGTATTGCATATTGGTAAAACCAGTGTCTCTAGTGACAAAGAAGATGTATTTCAGAAACACTTTATCAGAGCCCGTGAGCCATGGCTGCTGAGCCTGTGTGTCTGGAGCCTGTGCTCCACAACGGGAGAGGCCACAGCAGTGAGAGGCCCGTGTACCGCAAAAAAAAAAAAAGAAACACTTTATCACACTTAAAGTAATATAGAAAGCAAAGGGATGTGGTCTAGGACATCAGTAATTGGTCCTTTTGTACTGAAAGAAAAGTAGCATCAAAAGATAAATTGTGCAACTTTATGTTAAATATAAATTTAAAAAACTTTAAGAAGACATTAAATCATTTAAGAAACTTTTTAAAACATTGAAAGTCTTACCACAAATGGTAAAGTTTTCTTCCAGCTTTTTTCCCCCTCTGATCTGCCTGAATGTTGACCAGCCTGGCACAAGGGAGCAGGGCTTCAAGTTGGAGAATTGCTTTCCCCTCCACCTTACTTCCTCTTGGGCCTCTGTAGCTCTGGATGCAGGGCAAGAAGTAGTGCAGCTGCTAGTAATGATTACCTGTTTGTTCAAAAACAAAAAACACAAAAATAACTTTCAAAGAATTCCATTAATACCCATTGCAAACATCTTTTCGTTTGATACCTGAAAACTTTTTTTTATTTGTTAATCATCAAGGATTCCATTAGCTGAAATTTTTTTTTAAAATTCTTTTGAGTTCTAGAGAATTATCCAGAGT